GCGGTGGTTATCCTGATCCTGCGGAACACTGTGCAGGTGTTGGTCTGCACGAGCTCGCTTTGAATCACAACAAGGTTTTGACCCAGGTGAAGACCTATTTGCAGGGACGTGGTGTATCCCATATCCAAGCCCGTCTCCACAGCACAGAGAAGTTTCTTACAACTGCAGAGCGCAGCGAAGGTGGGGAGAGCAAATGCTTCGCAGAGAGCTCAGAGGCGCCGATCCTCCTCCTGCAGCAGGCCACGGTTCCGGACTTGCTCGTGCTACCCGCCCAACTTCACGACGCGTGCACACCGTTGGTGGAGGAGGAGCTCAACCCCGAGCACGAGCCTTTCCCGCAAAAGAAGCTGCTGTTGGACTACCAAGTCAGCAGCCTGCTCGAGAGATTCTACCAGTGCCCCTGGTCGGCAGACGGTCGAGCAAGGGGGGGTTACGATTTCCTGTCGATGGAGCAGGACTTGGCTTTGAGGCTGGTTGCAGGTCGCCGGCCACTCCAAGTGTGTAGCCAGGAGCAATGTTTGAAAGAAGTTGTGTCTGTTTGAGTTGAAGGACTTGTCGCTACTAAACACAGGTGTCTTTGATTGGATGCCTCTTCTTGGCAGGATCACAAGGAGCTACAGGCCGACATTGAAGACTTCCCCTACCGCATTTACCACGGAAATGTGACTGTTCGGATTTTGAACCGAGTCAAAGTCGATTGCCGTCGACTCGCCCCTCAAATCTCATTGAACAATGCCTTGAGTGTCCAACGGGCAGAAGAGTTGGAGGCCTCCTTTTTCCGGGACTCGGCCAAGGCCTTGGATGTCAGCAAAATTACCGGCGACTTGATCGCCTTGCTCTTGGGTGCCCGTTCCTTGGTTGGTATCATTCGAGGAGACATGACCCTCCGTCAGTTTGTAGAAGTGTACACTCTGGCAGAGAGCTCATGCATCGACAACAAGTCAGAAAGCCACCCAGATGCTTTGATGCGCATTGTCACTTGGTTGCGGATGGAGAAAATCCTTTGGCATTCTCGCTTGTCGGATTCCTTAGGGTGAGAGCGGCAGCGGGCTCCTTACTACTGGTAAAAGAAAGTCTGTGAGCCAACCTTTGGAATTGCTAATTAGGGTTGTGCTGCTGTTGGATCCTGACACTACTGTGCGAAGTAGGATGGTAGCTGGCCCTTTCCAGGTCAACATGCAGGACATTGCAGAGGTTCCGCTAAGTGCCCTCGTGGCGCTGCACTTGCTCTCTCGGGATCTGCTGGCCATGATGCACGGAGTAAGTGTTCGGTGTTGGGATGCAGAGGACGCGGCTCTTCAGCGTTCCAGAAGCGACAAAGTGACAAGTCTTTCATCCCGCATGATGTTGTGCCGGGAAGGACGAGTGGGTGGACTCAAGCGATTTGCCCCCAGAGCTGGACTTGTGGCTGGACACACTTCAGAAGGACCATCCCGAGGCCGCTTTTCCATGAACTGCCTTTTACGTGTCCTCCATGTTATGTTGGAGAGCTGTCAGGTCCTGATCTGTGTTTGCCGACTGATGGCTCGGGTGTTGTACCTGAGCTGCGAGAAGCCGCTCGCCACACGTCGACCTCACGATGCCGACTATCGACAGCCGCCGATGATTGCGCAGCTGGTGGTGGGCATGGATGTTGTGGAGGAGCTTCGAAATTCGAACCCTTTTACTAGGATCATGTCCGCAGAATCCCAAACCTAAGAAGCACCTCCCCAGAAATGCGCTCCACGTGTTGTACACGGTGTCAACTTTGTGCAGCAAGGACAAAAATCTGAAGCAGGAACACCAGCAGGAGCCACATGGCCACACCGAGCCTGCTATCCAGACAGGAGCTGCCAGCTGTTTGCGTTGGCGAGGCAGAGCAGTATGCAGCAACTCGGAGCAATCGGTCCCGAGCTACCCTGCAGCTCACAGCCGATGAGCAGATTCCATTCTTAAAGTTGGGGCACAGGAGTGTGTTCGGTCAGTCTTACTTCATCGGACCAATGGGGTCTGTTTCACAAAGAAACCACGTGTATCTGTGTCCCAATACTTCAGTGTATGCTTCTCTTGGCACCGATGCTACGGGTGTGCACCAGCGACGCTTACAGAGGAAGTCACATGCAAAAAACTTCCATACTGTGCAGTGCTGAGGACCAGCCGCTTCCATTAACTCTTCAACATTGGAACGACTGGGAGCCAGGTCATACACTTGCAGCTTTCAAGAAATGTCGCAACTCGGCAGGAGAGCTTATGTTTAGGTCGGGAAAGCGGGTCACCATCGTGGCCCCGTCGGACGCAGGGGCCTTCCCTCTATCCACTCGGGCCCGGTCGTCGCATGTCATGGCGTTGCTTGATCTGCTGTCGCCACCTCGTCATCACGAGCAACATGCAGTTTCCAAGCACTCCGAGTCAATAGGAGCAGCAGTGCCGAGGTGAATGCTGGCGTCAGCTGAGGGAGCCGTATCTGGCGCCTCCGAAGGCAGTTCTGGCCTCCTTTGCGGACCCAGGGGTTTCGAGCCTTGACACCCTATGTAGACCATCCAGGATTCACTTTGTTGCTCTTGCCATGTGATCTGCAAGCTTATCTTCGGAATGTTAGGACCTGCTCCGCTGAATTCAAGCCTCTGCTGTGGGTTTTTGACTTCTCCTTCCCGAGCCTGAAGTGCCAGCAAGCTTGTCATCCAGCTCACCTGCAAAGGAGCGGAATGATGAAGCAATCGACCAATTCGGTTTGGCGCACGGCGAAGGTTGGCGTCGCGAAGCGATCAGCGAAGCCGAAGAAGAGGACGAAGAAGGCCACGACAATCGGGTGCCGCACTGCGAGCATTCAGCAAGCGGGCAGTCGGATGACAGTGCAAGCTGCTTGTCCCAGCTGATTTGAGACAGGCACAGGAACTTGCGGACTCAAGTGATGATGGGGAGGTGGATCGCGACAGTCCGGGCCTG